CTCGACGTCGCCACGGAATTCGCGAGCTCGCAGCAAGGATGTGCATGGGCGCAACACTCTCGAGGTCGCACGCGTATCCACGAGCACGCGAGCGTTGGCAGCGGACGGGCGTACGGGCGCGCGAGCGAGCAGGCGTGCACGCGGGCAGCAGGTAGCAGCACTCTCGATGTCGCCATGTCTTCCGCGTGGTCGCGAGCATCGTGGGTAATAGCACCGCGGCACTCTCGAGCTCGCCATTGGCTCCGCGGGCACGCGAGTTGCTTGAGCGAGCATACAGCGGCACTCTCGACCCCGCCACTGTTTCCGCGAGCACGCGGCGTGCTGTGCGTGCGGGGCGCGGGGCTCGGTTCGTGCTTGATCCTTCATTTCGCTCTATCTTCTCGCACCGAACTCCGATTCGCTTGAAACTTGGACCAAAATTCTTGTCTTTGAATGCTCTTCCTCCGGGTATGGTTTGGTCGAATTTCCAGATTGGACGGCTCGGTCGGCTCGGATGGCTCGTCTCCTCGTGCGCGATGAAATGGACCTAATCACACTAAAAACAAAGAGACGACGCGCAAAAATACGAACAAGCTATACAAGAGCAAGAATATACAAAACACGACAAAATGGACCGGTCGAGCCTAAAACGGACCTAAAAACCACAAAATAAAACACATAAAACTCAAGAAAATAAGGGCAAAAACACAACAAACACTTATATAATTTTAACTAACCATTCCTTCAAATTATCTTTTCTCTTACTTTTATATCAAATTAATTTTAATTCTTTTATTTTAAATATTATTTTAATATAAATTCAAAACCTCACTTACAACTAACCATCACTTTTTTTTCAAAATTAATCATACCAAACAAAAAAATCCAAACAAAACCAAATTAATTTATAGCCAAGCATCTAGAATTTTTAATTTACTTTTTATTTTCAATTTATATTTTATCAACTTGTAATGTAACTACAAGCATGACATTCAACAAATTAAGAATACATATTGTTGACCATCTCTATATTTGTAATGTTTGTAACATGTAAATTGTGTCCCCCAACTAAACACTATCAAAGTAAAATTTAAAATAAAATGCACTAATATGTTTTTCAAATTTACGCGACTCTGGTAATTTTTAGCAGGTAACTTAGAATATAGTTAGTACCATGAAACAACACATTCAAAGTGATCAACACTATCCCTTGATATCAATTAGTAGAAGTCTAACACATTGGACCTCCACATACAACATTACACAAGAGTACTTATATTTATCATGAAACACAAAGATAATTCAAATTACAACCTTATACAGATCAACCACATGCACATAGAGGGATGTCCTTATTCAACACACATTGGACCTCCAAATACAACATTACACAAGAGTGTACTTATTTATCATGAAACACTTGAAATAATTTCATCAAATTACAAGCAACCTTATAAAGATCAACCACATGCACATAGGCATGCATAGACTTGGCAAATGACAATCTTACTTAGGAGCACTCAATCAATCCTTCAATGAGTTCCCCACGTCGATAACGAATCGGTACTTGACATCGTTTTTCTCGATACGCTCCATGGCCGTGTTCACGTAATTCATTGATATTATCTCGACATCCGGCAATATCTTGTGCTTGGCGCAAAACTCGAGCATTTCTTCTGTCTCTTTTATTCCCCCACTAGCGGTCCCTACTATAGCCTTCCCACCTATCGTGAAGAAACCAAAAAAAGAAGGAAACAATCGATCATCCCAAAATCCAATACAAAATGCATGAGTGTACATTTAGTGAGGAGTTAATGAGATGGTTGTGCATACCTAAAATTAGGGGG